GTGTGTGGGGTGGTCAGGCTGGGGTGTGTGGGGGGTGGTCAGGCTGGGGGTGTGTGGGGGTGGTCAGGCTGGGGGGTGTGTGGGGGGTTGTGGTCAGGCCAGGGGGTGTGTGTGAGGGGTGGTCAGGTTGGGTGTGTGGGGTGGTCAGGCTGGGGTGTGTGGGGGGGTGGTCAGGCTGGGGTGTGTGGGGTGGTCAGGCTGGGGTGTATGGGGGTGGTCAGGCTGGGGTATGGGGGTGGTCAGGCTGGGGTGTATGGGGGTCAGGCCGGGTTGTTTGGGGGGACAGACCGGTTGTTTGGAGGGGGTTAGGCCGGGTTGTTGGGGGTGGTCAGTCCAGGTTGATTGGGAGGTCAGGCCGGGTTGTTTGGGGGGGGGGTCAGACCGGGTTGTTTGAGGGGAGGTCAGCCGGGTTGTTGGGTGGGGGTGGTCAGCCCAGGTTGATAGGGGGTCAGCTGGTTGTTTGGGGGACAGGCCGGTTGTTTGGGGGGGTCAGGCCGGGTTGTTAGGGGTCAGGCCGGTTGTTAGGGAGTCAGGTCAGGTTGTTTGGGGGTCAGGCCGGCTTTGGGGGGTCAGGCTGATTGTTTGAGGTCAGGCCGGGTTGTTTTGGGGGGGGTCAGGCCGGGTTGTTTTGGGGGGCTGGGCCGGGTTGTTTGGGGGGGTCAGGCCGGGTTGTTTGGGGGCAGGTCAGACCGGGGTTGTTTGGGGGGCGGTCAGACGGGGTTGTTTGGAGGGAGGTCAGGCCGGGTTGTTGGGTGGGGTGGTCAGTCCAGGTTGATAGGGGGGGTCAGCCGGGTTGTTTGGGGGGTCAGGCCGGGTTGTTGGGGGGCTCAGGCCGGGTTGTTTGGGGGGTCAGGCCGGGTTGTTTGGGGGGTCAGGCCGGGTTGTTTTGGAGGGGGTCAGGCCGGGTTGTTTGGGGGTCAGGCCGGGTTGTTTGGGGGGGTCAGGCCGGGTTGTTTGGGGGGGTCAGGCCGGGTTGTTTGGGGGGGGCAGGCTAGAGTAGGGGGGTGGTCAAGCTGGGATGTGTGGGAGGGTGGTCAAGCTGGGATGTGTGGGAGGGTGGCCAGGCTGGGATGTGTGGGAGGATGGTCAGGCTGGGATATGTGGTTGGCTCATGTTGGCATCTAGTTAGTTCCTGAAGGCTGCAGTGAGTCTTGATGTGGTCTGTCACTCATACAATGTGGGTTAAACTAAGTCATGTCACTGAGCCATTACAGTCATCCCCCCATTGAAGTCTAATCAATTTATGACGGGAAAAAGTTCAAAAAATAACTTGAATTCATATAGGTACAGTCACCCAAAAAAGTCCTGTCGCGAACCACGAGCCCCGAGATTCAGACTCGTGAACCCGAAGCAGTAGACACTGATACATTATTCTGTCCATAAATGCTTTGGATTCAAGAGTCTGAATCTCGGGGTTCATGGTTTGCGACAGGACTTTTTTGGGTGAATGTACAGCACATATAATAACTACTGGTATACTGTACAGCACATATAATAACTACTGGTATACTGTACAGCACATATAATAACTACTGGTATACTGTACAGCACATATAATAATTACTGGTATATTGTACAGCACATATAATAACTACTGGTATACTGAACTGTACAGCACATATAATAACTACTGGTATAGTGTACAGCGCATATAATAACTACTGGTATACTGTACAGCACATATAATAACTACTGGTATAATGTACAGCACATATAATAACTACTGGTATACTGTACAGCACATATAATAATTAATGGTATACTGTACAGCACATATAATAATTACTGGTATAGTGTACAGCATATATAATAATTACTGGTATACTGTACAGCACATATAATAATTACTGGTATACTGTACAGCATATATAATAACTACTGGTATAGTGTACAGTACATATAATAATTACTGGTATATTGTACACTATAATTAACAATGTAGACAGTAACAATGGTGTGTCCCAATGTCTCTCTACTTATTACAAGTCTCTAATTACAATAGGCAACAAATTTAAAAAAAAAATCAGTAACATTGTTCAGAGCAGCTTCCCTTTGGTAATTTTGAGGTGCTGATTTCAAATCTGGCAAAAAACTCTCTGGCACGTACAGTTTATTTGCGATACAAAAAATTAAATCTTACAAATACAAAAACTGAAAAATACTATTTTCCCTGTTATTCCTGTTACCTTTTTCCACAGCATCAGACTAAAATTCAATAAAGAACGAAAACAATCATAAGAAGACACAAAAAGTAATAAATTAGCCACGACAGGTTGACAACCCTTTATCCGAAATTCCGAAAACCGAATTTTTTTTTTTGGAATTAGTCCACCCGGGCACAGGTCACTGACCCACATCAGGGCCTGGGGGGCGAAAATGTAATAGTAATAATAATTATAATAATACAGTAATAAAGGTAATAATGATAATACAGTAATAATAATAATTATTCATAGTAAATAACATTTTTAGTAAAAATACACAAAAATAAATTAAGAATGATAACAATAAAAATAATAATAATAATAATACTGTAATAATGAAATAATAATAATAAAGAATACAAGAATGAAAAAAAGATCAAAAGTGAGTAACATGACCTAGACCTATGAATTATTATTATTATTATTATTATTATTATTATTATTATATTTTAGCCCCCACGCCCAATGTGGGTCAGTGACCTGTGCCCGGGTGGGCTGATCCTTGAGAGAGAGAGAGAGAGAGAGAGAGAGAGAGAGAGAGAGAGAGAGAGAGAGAGAGAGAAAAAAAAAAAAAAAAAAAAACATTCTGAAATCCGAAAAATTCCAAAAACCGAAATGCATCTGGTCCCAAGGATTTCGGATAAGGGAGTGTCAACCTGTATAGGCATTTGTTATTTCATTTCATCCTTTTATGTGTTGTATTGTCCTCCGATTGTAAAAACCAGCAATAGTGCCCCATCATGGCAGGATCCCATCTACCCTGGCACCTTTCCTCCATACTTCTAATGTCCGGATGAAACAATCTCCCTGTTCACAACTAACCGCCCCCAGATTCTCAGGAAAAAAGTCCAAGTGCGAGTGCAGGAGGCAGGGACATCCTAAGTTTTTGTACTTTTTTAAGAGTTCCTCTACAAGTTGGCAATAGTTTTCTTCCTTCTTGTTTCCAAGAAACCCGTTGACTACAGATGTGAAGGATTTCCATGCAGTTAGCTTAATTTCATTCAGTTTTTTCAAAGTCGTCATCAAGAAGTAACTTTCATATCTGTGGGCCAACAAAGATACCCTCTTTGACTTTAGCATCACTGAGCTGTAGGAATTTTCCCCTCAAGTACACGAACCCATCACCTTGTTTGTTCATAGCTTTCATAAAATTCTTCATTAGTCCCAGCTTGATGTGTAAAGGAGGTAGAAGTACATCGTTTGGGTCTACCAAGGGAGTATATTTAACGTTGCTTATACCTGGAAGAAACTCTTCTCTCTTTGGCCAGTCCTTTGTGTTGTAGTGTTTTTCTGTTGCTCTGCTGTCCCATAAACACAGAAAACAGCAATACTTTGTGAATCTTCCTTGAAGGCCAAGTAGAAGGGCTATAACCTTCAAATCGCCACAGATCTGCCATCGATACTCTTTGTATTTAAAAGCGGTCAGTATTTTCTCCACACTATCATACATTTCCTTCAAACCTACAGAATGCGCTACTGGAACCAAGGGCTTCTGGTTCCCATTATGCAACAATGCTGCTTTCAAACTAAACTTGGAGGAATCTATGAAAAGCCGCCATTCCTTTGGGTCATGTTTTTCTCCCAACTCTCACATCAGTCCATCTACATCAGTACACACACAGTGGGAATCCTGCAAACTGTAGAATGAAGACAATGTAATATTCTTTTCCTAAAAACAGAAATTCTTGTCTGTTTTGCTCGCAAGTTCCATTCCTGCAGTCTTGATGCTAAAAGTTCCACCTGCTGTTTTGACAGACGGAGATCATGAACAAGATTATTATGTTCACTTTGTTCTATAAGATGTGGTTCATTGGAATTCTGGTCAATGAGATGAGGATCATGGTATGATTCTGGGATTTATTCCTCAAGTTCCTCATCCGAAGTTGAGAGCTCTTCCAGATTAGCTGGTGGTGTAGGTATATGGAGGCCTTCTCCATGAGGAAAGGGCCTTATTGCCAATGGTACATTTGGATACTCAATTTGGTGAAATTGGTGAATTAACACAGCCTCAGCATTGTATTCTCTCCATTCTCCTGTTCAGGATTGCTAACCTTACATTTAATATATCCCTACCAACACAAGTACGTATCTTATATTCCAACACTACATATACTGTACACATACAGTATATCATAAAAATGTTATGTGACTGACATTTTGTATTGCCATATTTGAAATCAGCACCACAAAATTAATAAAATGCAGCATAATTGATCCATGTTACCGAACCCTTGTCAACTAGTGTTATATTTGTAATACTTCATCTATGTCTAATTATATTGGTGTTTATCCTTTATATCTTGTACTCCTCTCTCTCTTTCTCTCAGAAGGGAGGGGAAATGTCCTCCCATCAACACTCCTAATTGCTCCCACTTCCTCTGCCATCAATCCCTAGTTATATAAATTTATATTAAAACTCATGAACTAATATTTTTATTACATTATGACTGAATCTAAAGAGTTTATCCTTGTAACATCATTGTGACACCAAAAAGTAGAACAGAGAGTTGTACTGTTTATGGTCGGCAGCATAAACTCTCAGCCTCCTTTCCCAAGGATCTTTCATGCCAGACTCCTTCTTGGATCTGCTGAGAAGACCTGGGCAGTGAACACCCTTGATCTGCTGCCTATACAATGATGCTTGAGCCCAAAATAAGTTATAAAACTCCCTAGATCAACTTTCCTGTGTTCATCAAGGTGCTATGAATAACAGAGATATAATCTACAATTATTGTAAACTGAACTAGAACATAATAATTGTAAGATCAAATTGTTCTTATTATCACGTTAACAAACCTGGTGACCATTCAGGGATGTCATATCCCTAGCTATTGCCTCCAAGCATTCTTTTATTAGAACTTCACGAGTCAAGTTGTCTTCCCTAGAGAGCGTCATCTTCTTCCCACGTCTTACATACATGTCCGTCAAGCTCCAGATGATGCTCACTGCCGAAGACGCCTTAGTGATGCTTCCCCGCGTATATATCTCTTGCAATATTACACCCAGGTTACGGACCGTGCCACGTACACATATGGACAATATCTGTAATGGGAGAGAGAGGGACAAACTGTATGTGAAGGCCATACATGATGCAAGGCCTATAATATCATGTACCAGAGGAACACTGTTAGCTACCTTGTGCAATATTAATAATAATAGCACCTGCCGTCCTCCACCGGCCAATATGGCGGATGGAAGGTTATGATTCTGAACGCTTCAATTAATTTATCAGAAGTATCAATTCATGTTAAATAGAAAACAAACCAATCAATCAATCAATGATTCGCACATAATGAACATTACAACTACAGCAACAACCATTAAAAATCGTCAGTTTACCACATGATAGACAGGGTCATGAAAGAGAAAGACTAAGAGTTTTTCAGTCTCCACCAACTCCGGCAGCCTGAGGCAGAGGCAGCCCATTATACAACCAAGATGCTGTGTATACAATGATTGGACCACAAATAAACAATAACACACAGTTTTGAGTCTGAGAAAGTCATATGTTTTATCACCTAAAAACAGGACCATATATGAGCCAGCAGTAAAAGATAAAAAAAAAAAAAAAAAAATCTCACAAAGTTTAATGACTTTAAAGGCTATGAAGCTTAGTTTCAATTTAATTTTAGCTTTAATATGGAGGCGATGTTGTCAGTGGAGTGAATCAATAAACTAATTTGGTGTGGTGAAGACAGACTGGACCTTCTACAGTAAACAATATGGTGAGTCAACAAACTACACTTACTGACTCTGGATATAATCAGTTCACATACAAGAGACAATCCATCTAAAGTTCTCCTCACAGCATAAACCTTCTCAATGTGCTAACTCCATTTATTTCCCAATAATCTTTTTTTCCTTCTCCAAAAATTCAATGCGAGTCTAGAGAATACTTTCTGATATCTGTAATTTAAAGGGAAAATTTCTAGGTATGATGAACAGTCCTTTTAAGATAGGTAAAAATGGATCAATGAAAACCTTACTTGTGAGAGTTCCATCAAGGACAGGTGTTGTAAAGGTTCTTCTTTGAGAGAGTTGTCAATAAGTACTGGAAGAGCTGTTTGTAGGGCATCAGACAGCGTTGTTGCTGGCATCTTCTTCAATAAGAACTCTAGAAACACCAATTGTCTCAAATCCAAGTCATTGATGTAATGTTTCAGCATCTGTAAAGTTTATCTTCATTAAATTATACAATGTGGTGTATTATATATCTCACACAGGGTGAAGCACAAGTTCAACATAGGATGGTGACCTTACAAAGGGTAGTGCATAATAAGTTTTAAACAGGGTGGTGCTTAATAAGTCTTACACAGGGTAGTGCATAATAAGTCTTACACAGGGTAGTGCATAACAAGTCTTACACAGGGTAGTGCATAATAAGTCCTACACAGGATAGTGCATAAGTCACTATACCAAGATCACTTATATCAAGAATATGCATTTGGTAGAGGGAATCATGTGCCACTATTAATGATTGTCCCTCGTTTAACGAGGATGGCCAGCCCAAGGGCCACCTAGCGTGAATTTGTTTAAGGTGTAGAAGCTGTCGTCAACACAACAACCACACCCTAAGTCAATGAGTTGCCTGACCCGGTGTCAAGGAATAGTCTGAGAAGACCGGACAACTCACCAACTGCACTGGCTAACCATTACCCCGGAACACGATACACAAATCAATTAACATCCAGGTCCCCAATTATTGCTGGGTAGAGAGACAAATGGCATAAAGAAACTTGCCCATAGTTTCACCATGCCCATAGATCGAATCTAGGTCCACTCACTTGTGAAGAGAGCATGCTGACCATTATACCACAGATATTTATCAACAAATGGACGAACATTTCAATTTAACTCATTATTATATTTTATTCAGGTAAGTTCAAAGATGTAAAATTTTCACACATAATACAGGGGGCTCCCCAAGTTCGTGGATTTTTACTTAGCAGTTTAGTTATTCACGGATGAAACCCTGAATGTACCAAAGAATGTCTGCGGGTAGTTTTAAATTTGCCAGCATTTTTGTGGCTGGGACAGGGAGCCATTCGTTCTAGCGACAGTAATTTCCTTTACCTGTATTGTAAATATGTGTGTGTGTGTGTGTGTACACACACACACACACACACACATATACAATACTACAGGTAAAAGAAATAATTGTCCTAATGGCAAACACATAAAGGGAATATACATTTCTTTGTACACAAGCAAAAATGTCCCCCCCCCTCCGGTTCGCAAATGTTATTCGCGGATTTGGTGATTCGCAGCCATTTTGAAAACCTAGCCCCCGCGAATTTGGAGGGCCCCCTGTATTCTCATCCAATATCTCCCAACCAAGAAAATATAACCAGTATATTCAATAAGATACTTTTCTACGTGTTTCCTTATTCCTCCCTAACATATACAGTGATCCCTCGGTTAACGAACGCCTCGGTTAACGAAATTTCGGTAACGAATTACCTTCCATAAGAATCTTCAACTCGATTAACAAACAAAAATTCGGTTAACGAAATCCTTACAAAATCGTGTCAACATGTTTTCGCCTGCTTTCGCCTGCTCACCAGCTGGAGTATTAGTCCACCAATAGAGTAATCGGTTTTAGGGCTTAAATTCGTTACCATTTGAGTAAATATCAAGAAGGTTGTACTATTCAATAATTTTCCAAGTCTTATATTAAATTTTGTAGTCATTTTAACAATTATTTAACATAATTGAAGTGCAGGGAACTAGTTTTTAGCGTGCCAAACAGCCACTTAACTCACCCAGAATGGCGTCAGTTTGTGTGTCTGCTCAGTGGAGGAAGCATCTTGCTTGAGACTCTCTTGAATATAAACTATTTTTATGTTTTTACAGTACAATTATTGGTCATTCTGAAATTTATTTTACATAGACAATATATAGTGCAGTGTTGATTTAAAGAAAATAATCTTGAATTACACCAAGTGAACTTAAAATTTTATGGGTGAAATGGCGGCATGAAGCATTGGGTGATTTCTCTTCCACCCCACTGCCTTCTCTTCTCCCTTCTCCTCCACCCCCACTTCTAATTCCCATCATCATCATCATCGTCATCATCATCATCAACCAGGTGCCTTCTACATGCACACCTCAAAGTAAGTGTACTTTACTGCATTTATTTTTAGTTTGTATGTAATTTTCGGTGAGCTGGAACCAATTACCCAAAATCCCATTGAAAACAATGGTTTCGGTTAACAAACGACCTTCTGGAACGAATTGTGTTCGTTAACCGAGGGACCACTGTACTGTACAATGACACTTTAACACGTTTCCTTCACAGTGGCTTCAGTTGTCATCATCTCAGTGACGTACAACAACTACCTGAGCCACCACCTCCCTCACCTTAATCTGGGGCCAGGTACTGTACACAGGTAAATAGTCACCCTACATAGATAGAATTAAATTGAGTTATCAGCAAATATTTTGATTGTTGTTTCCACCATTAAAATGTTCTGAGACATAACTGAAACAGGTGTTACTAAAATATGTTTTTGCACACACAACATTAAATGTTTGAGTGTAGATACAGAGTAGAAATAGATAATTTATAAATAATGGGGTGTTGGTGGTGAACTACAGTAAGTCTGCACTTAACTTCGTCCCGCTTAACGTTGTTTCGGTACTACATCACTAAACTTTAGAGACCAAAAATTAGTTTAATGTCCCGGTGATCCGATACTACGTTGTTTTACGTCGTCACAGGCTACTTTCTACGGTGCATCACCCTCTCTCGTCTGGCTGCGCTACGCTCTCTTGGCTCGATGCAGAGTCTCAGTGGTTCGCCACCCTCCTCCTCCGCTTCCGCCATACTCCTCCCCTCCCGCCATCTGCTTCCTCTGCTTCACTACCCACCACACACTCACTGTACCACCTTAGTAGTTGTATATGTATGCACTATTTTCAATAGAAATGGAAATGATTTTCTGTATATGTAATGTATTTCATGGGGCAAAGGGAGGCTCAGGAACATAACTCCCATATTTTATCTATTTTTTATGGGGAAAATTGATTCGCTTAACGTTGCTTCGTATCACGTCGCATTTTCAGGAACGAAGATAAGAGAGGACTTACTGTAATAACAGGAGTCTCTCACCACTTGGTCATGGGTTGGATTCCTGCTTGGTCCAGACATACTTGAGAGGGGGGTTATCCAGTGTGATTCTAACTACCAGATATCACAGGTTTCTTCTGGGTACTACACCTTCCTCCTGTACTAACACTGGACTATAAAATGTTTAACAAAGTAACAAATAACAGACCAACCACCCAAATGGCTGATAAGTGGTCAAATGATAATAAATTAATTAATAAACTATAAAACTAGATACTGTACTGTATACACAAACCTGTAGCACACTCTGAACAAGCTTGGACTGAGATGACACCTCTAATCTACACAAATGCTTCAAGACCTCCAACACCTCGTCGTGTTCCATCTGTCGAGTGAACACATACACTTCCCGGCAGAGATCTTGAAAGCCTCTTGTTTCCTGAAGCCCCAGTCCATTCTCATCTCTAGAAATCATACAATATGTAGTAAAAAGAAATTTAAAGGTGTAACACATAAAAACATACTATAAGTCCAGTACAGTATTGTACAGGAATTCCCTTCCTCCTGCAGTACTGTTCTGTATAAAGTAAGTCAACTGCCACCAAAGATTCATCCTTTAGGAGAACTTTTACTCATATAAATTACTGTACTGTACTACATACAGTATCTGTTATTATTTTGTGTCACTTCTGACTGCTGGCTCAGATACAGCCCAGTACAATGAGCCATACCTCCTTCTTGAACCTAGAGCCAGGTGTGATGTTCTTGGTGTCCTTATCTTTTACCTGCACAAAATCTTCATTATATTATCAGTTGGCCCTCTCCCTGATGCTACTGGACACAGAAGAGATTTATAAAAAAAACTAATGAGAAACTTTCCTTTTGCAAGAGGTGGTCCTGTTGATGGTGTGGTGAACAAAGACAGTCATGTCTGGAGACAAATGTGGCTGTTATAGTTACAATGTTGTCGGTCTCTTAAATATTTTCTACAGTGTGTTGAAAACTCAATTTCTTGGCTTTAAAAAGAGTAAATTTAAAATAAATTAATGTCTTCTAACAATACAGTGATGGAGGAGATAGTAGTGTACTGTACACTATATAAACTGTAAGGCATAACTAAACACACAAGATTTCTGGAACATAAACAGTTGAGTTAACAAACATTGTACAACTTTATATTCAAATGTCTTAAAGATTATTTCTGGTTAGGTTGAACTGAGCAAAAATATCATTAAGATAACATTTTTGTTAATACAAAATTGTTGGGAGGCAATATTAACATACAGTATTTAATTAAATCCCTCATTAACATCATATTGATATATTTTATAGACTATCAGTTTTCATCAATGGAGATGTAATGGATGAGTTATTAACATACAGATACTAAACTGTACAGTATTTACATTGTGGTCAAGGCTGTCAGGATTGTGTTCTGTCATGATCTGTTACATGTACAGTAAGGTACGGTACAGCTTCAGTCTATAACTATACATTATTTTATTCTTTTCAACTGAATCAGTTGAAGAAATCTTACGATATTTAGCTAACCGGATGACATAATTGTGTATGATGAGAGGAGGGAGCCAGTAACACCCTAATCAATAGATAAATACATCCTACAGCCAAAATACCATAAAGCAGTACAGTAATTGTTAACAGTGTAGAGTACAGTACAGTAGGTGCCACTCACCCTCGCCAGACAAGATTACTGAGCTGCCTTAATATCGCTAAAAGATGTCGTATTTTCATCACATCTTTGTATCGATTATGAGTGTCAAATAATTCAGAGGCTGTTTGACAGTCATAAACTTTAGTTACAAGAAAATCATTGTAGTGCTTCTGTCGCTGGCTGGGCAGGAGGTGGTCTAGGCCGTCCTCAACTACCAGGTCATCTGTCTTCTGTACTACACATGTTAAAACATTTTCATTGTCAGATATAGTGTGATCATCATCATCAATCTTGTTATTATTCAGCTCTGACGGGCCAAAACGGCTTGTATCTGAAATAAAATAATAACTATGAACTTTTACGGTACAGTACAGAACAGTATGGGTTATATATCATGGTTGATGTGAAGTGGTGTGTCAGCCTTCATAAACAACAACAGTCACTACACTCTGTGATACATTAAGTCACCACCTGTCATACTCATGTTGGGGGGATTGTGAAAATTGGTCTCATAGCCATGACTGCCCGTAAGAGATAGTGTAGATACTGCACACTGTGCACCAAGCCTTCAGTACACAAGGAGGCAGCATGGCCGGTATTGCACTCCACCGCCTTCACTTCCCCAAGTTGTAAACTTAGGCACCCATTTACAGCAGGGTGAACTGGGAATGCCCGGGGATCGAAACACCGACCCCTGGAACATGAGGCGAGCGCTGTACGCACTTGACCGCCTCACTCATTTTGGGGGATTAAAATCATATATAAGGAGAAATTAGGTTTCACCAAATATAAACTTTGACAACATTGTACTGTACATACTTGAGCAGCATCTGAAGCTGGCTGGTGTGTACTGTAGTCTTTTATTTACTGATAAACTCTTGATGGCATTGTAGTCTTTTATAGAGAGTGGTGGAGATAGTGGTGCCCTCAATATACTTGTTGTATAATGAAGGTTCTGTAATAAAGTTCTTAACAGTCGAGACATCTTGGTGTTCCATCAGTGGATCCTGGAAATAAAAATACACATATTATTCAACTAATTTTACAGTACAGTTTTTAACAACATACAGTATTCTCTTTCATACTCACTGACCCATGACCCATTCTCTGTAAGACAACAGTGTTAACATTTGTTAAGTACAGTTGTACCCCGCTTAATGCGGTTTCACTTAACGCGATTTCTCATATACGCGGTGCCTCGCCAGAACCGAACTTTCACTTAACGCGGTTCATCTACTCATATACGCGGGAAGCGGCGCGGGCACGATGCGCACAAGGTCGCCCAGTCATCAAAACATTACCGAGTTCTTCACCCACCACAGCCGGCCCAAGTCAGTGATAGTGATAATTATAGTGAGGATATGGACTTATATGGACTTTGAGGGGGTTTGACAAAGAGGCCCTGCAAGCCTCTGTGGTGGATAGTGATACAATTGATACAAGTGATACAGGTGAGGGCCAATAATCTGCCCTCTGCCTCGGAACCAACCCCCATCCCCGTGTGCCCAGCCATCTTTTCTACTAATGTAAGTGTTAAAAAACCTAATATTATTGATATTTCTCTTAATTATTAATTGTGTGTGCATACCATCATAAAGTTAAGATAATATTTTTACTACAACATAGTTGTGTGTCGTCAAAAAGTGGAGTTTGGGGGTCGGGCCAGTCTCTATTGGAATTAATCCCATATGTTCGGTTGTTCACTTAACGCGGTTTTCACTTAACGCGGTACCCTGTGGGTTCAATTGACCGCGTTAAGCGGGGTACAACTGTATTGAAGCACCTGACATCAACAACTGATAACAAAAAAGCATCAACTGAAAATGTTTAACCTCTTAAGTGCTCTTAACTAACTCCTTCAGCACGATGACTTAACTCCTTTAGATATCAAGGGGTTAAAAGCCTTAAAATGACATTCTGGAAGACCTCCCATGGGCGTCCCATGATTTTTTTCCCGTGGGGGGGAGGGGGAGACAAGAAAGCAAGGCATGACCTGACATATCAGTTTATTCAAAACAGGTGCTGTATATACATCCATTTAAAAGTATGATTAAGTATAATCGAGTCACTTTCGAGTACTGTATGATCAGCAATATTACTCACGAGTGTTATCATCAAATTATTAGTCACTAAAAATTATCACACCATTAAAAACTAACAAAAATATTTCATTTGATATCGTTAATCCTGGAAAAATTTTTGCGATGCCCATGCGAATCAAACTAATCTACCTTGTTGATCTTAAGTTATATAGGTTGGGTTAATTTTAATTAGTTAACATCTTTCATAAATCCTTTAATGTCACAGTCTCATACAGCTGTCTAAAATGGTTCCAAGTACAGTATAGTAACTCATATGATAAGGCATCATAATTAACCCAGAGAGCATTTCACCATTGTTGTGCACCTCAACAAACTGTGTCATAAGCTGTTCTATATGACAATAAATGACCATTACCCAGTATATATTTAAGTGTTTCTGAATTTTTCTCCCTTGGTTACTCCAAGTTCCTCAGGTGTCACACTTGATGTTACAGCATTACAGTGGTCCCTCGGTTAACGAGATTTCGGTTAACGATTTACTTTCCATAAGATTCTTAACTTTGGTTAACGAGCAATCCCTCGATTAACGAGTTTTTTACGAGTCGACTTCAACATGTTTTCGCTTGCATTTGGCGGTCCACCAGCTGCAGTATTAGTCCGCCAATACAGTAATCGGTTTTAGGGCTTAAATTCCTTACTATTTTAGTAAATATCAAGAAGTTTATACTATTCAATAATTTTAAAAGTTTAATATTAACTTTTTTGGTCATTTTAACAATTATTGAACATAACTGAAGGTAAAGAAACTAGTTTCTGGCGTGCCATCCAGCCTGTTAACACAGCAGACAGGTATTAGTCTCTCTCTGTTTTCAGTGGAGGTAACATCTTGCTTGAGACTCTCTTCAACTAAATGCTTTTTTCTGTGTTTCCAAGAAAATTATTGGTCATTTTGAAATATATTTTACATATTGACAATATATAATGCAGTGCAGTGTTGATTTAAAGAAAACAATCTTGAAATACACCAAGAGAACTAACATTTTATGGGTGAAATGGTGCCATGGGGTGACTTCTCTTCCACCCCAATGCCTTCTCTTCTTCCTTCTCCTCCACCCCCATTCTAATTCCCATCATCATCATCCAGGAGCCTTCTACATACACACCTCAAAGTAAGTGTACTTTTCTACCTTTTTGTTGAATTTAGGCAATTTTCAGTGAGTTGGAACCAATTACCCAAAAACCCATTGAAACAATGGTTTCGGTTAACGAGTTTTCGGTTAACGAGCAACCTGCTGGAACGAATTGTGCTCGTTAACCGAGGGACCACTGTACTTTTACTGTATTGACAGCCAGCACTATTTTTCTCAACAATCAATAAATTATATAAGGATCCAGTTATTTTCAATTTTACTGTTCCTCAATTTTTCATTAGTTTTTTCTTTAGCATTTCTCTTCCCAAATATATACCGTAGTTATAAAAAATTAGTAAGACTCAGGTGTTAAGTTTCCACAGCAAAGTCAGCTTATCGTACTGTAGCCAGTCTGCTACATGAAAGATGACCTGAAATACCCAAACCTAACCAACTATAAGTACAGTAGTTATGTTAGGTAATGTGAGGTAGACAATCACAAAAAAAAAACATATGACATAAATAACAAGTCCTGGAATACATGGGGATTATTTTCAAGGAAGGAAACAATGCATTTTCTACATAAAATTTCACAACATTGACCACTGTGAGTGTGTTGGTGTTGATGGTACAGTTTGCCTCTCATCACTGTGTTGTTGATACAATCCCCGGGATGGATGTGACGTGACTGTTAAGGTCAAGGGTGTGGGTTAACCTTACGAAGAATAAGCCAAATAAGGTGGATGATTTGCACTTCCATTATTCTGGTTTTTGCCCTAATTTTGTCCACTTGATTATACCATGTTTATGCAGCCATAAGTGTTGACAAATGCTTCCCAGCATCCTACCAACCATTCAACCCAGAACACTAGGCAACAGAATGCTTTACAGCCAGCGACCGACCAACCTTCCTTGCCATACGAACCTTCCTAACCAAACTTAAATAATAATAATAATAATATTAATATACAGTTAACCCTCACTTTACGCGGTCCCGCATTCCGCGTTTCCACGTTAACGCGGTGCCTTGCCAGAACCTCACGTGCTCACATTACGCGGTACGTGAACCCCATTACGCGGAGTGTGTCTGGCGCGACGCTATTTTTAGATTCGCCCCACCCGCCACCCGCCCGCCTGCCTGCCTGCCTCTCCCTCCTCCTCCCTCCGCTTGGGCAAGCGGCGCGGTAAGGTTGCGCAGTGTGTGTCTTTGTTGCGTTATCACTGACGTCATATGACGTATCAGACCTGTGATTGGCCATGCATCCCTACCCCCCTCTGCTGCTAGCTGTAATTGGCTTAAAGTATTATGACGTGTCCACCCGGGGGAGGGAGGGAGGGAGGAAAGACGACGCTTGACCTAGCCGCGGCAGTTTCATCCCTCAAGGCCACTCCGTGTAAACGCGCATCCATTGTTCCGTAAAATGGCTTCCGCCGGACCACCACCCCCAGAGAGAAACCTTTCCTTACCTGGACCCAGCGGCACTAAACCAAAGAAGACACGACGTTCCTTAAGCTACGAGGTGAAGTATAGCATCATCCAAGAGTTGGAGAAAGGAACAAGGCAGGTTGATTTGGCGCGCCAGCATGGCGTGAACGAATCTACGATCCGGACTATAAAGAAGGATTCAGCCAAGATAAAGGAGCACATGAAGATCACAAAGTCTACAGGTGCTTCTATGATCAAGTATTTTCACAACCAGGTGCTTCTCAAGACAGAAAAATTACTTGTGAGGTACTTGGTGCGTCAGGCGCGACGGAACATGGCGGTCGACACGCGCTCTGTTAAGGACTACGCACGTGAACTGTACATGGCAGTGGCACGAAAGATGGGAACTTCAGAGCCCAAACCCTTTAATGCTTCCTCTGGGTGGTTACAGAGGTTTAAGATCCGGAACAAGATCACCAATATAAACATTGGTGGTGAAGAAGCGAGTGCTGATCGTGCTGCGGCTCGGGAATTTCCTCCGTTTTTACGTGAGATTATGGAGGAAGGACAGTACAGTGATGACCAGGTGTTTAACATGGACGAATCTGGTCTTTTCTGGAAAAAGCTACCTTCCAAGTCCTTCATTGTGAAGAATGCCAGCAGGATTCGGGGCCGGAAAATGCAGAAGGAACGCATCACCGTCCTGTTTACCACCAATGCCTCCGGTACCTGTAAGCTCAAGTTATCGGTGATCCACACAGCCCACAAGCCGCACGCCTACAAGAGCATGGACATGACCAAGCTAAATGTCCACTGGCTGACCGCACGTAAGGCATGGATGTTCTCTACACTGTCCCTCTCCTGGTTTGATGACTGTTTTGTTCCCGATGTAAAGAAATTCTGTGAGCGACAGAATGTCCCATTTAATATTTTGTTGCTGCTGGACAACGCACCAGGACACTCGCCCCTACTGTTAGATCATCACCCCAACGTAAAAGTGGTCTTCCTTCCTCCCAACACTACGTCTTTAATCCAGCCCATGGACCAGGAGTTGATTTGCAATGTGAAAGCTGCATTCTCAACAAAAAAATTCCAGCTCCTGAACGACTACACCAACACCAGGGAAGAGTTGCGTAACCTGAGTGACACCACCACCGATAGCAAGAGCGAAGAAGATGAGGATCAACAGTTAGAACAGCAAAAAATACTCTTCAAACAATTCTGGAGAGTATTTAACATCAAGAAAGCTGTGGACTTCTTGGTGGAGTCATGGGATCAGCTGTCTATTGCTACAATTCGTCACGCATGGAGACATGTGTTGCATGGAATACCAGGTGAGAGGAGGAGTCAATCTGTGACTGGTGAGGTTCAGAATGTTGCAGTAGCAGTGGACCTTGCCAGAGAAGCTG